TACTCAAATGAGTCTTCCTGATTCCTCATAAATAAGACAGTAGGTTCTACATTCAACCCCTTAAAACTTTATATCTACTAGGCTATTTATTCTAATTCATTAATATAGACAAACATTGTTTTAATGTAATTAACACAAAACATCTTTTTTATATCATTCTTTTTTTGTTTCTATTCATTAAAAAAGTAACTTTTTCTAAATCAAAGTGACAAAACACGCTACTCTAAGTCTAATAAATGTTTTTCACGATCTGGGACATTATTTAATACAATATTTATTACAAAAACAACAGGATTTTTCTATCTCTGTAAATCACACTGCTATGCAGTTAAAACGAGTGCATTGAATGCTGTCTGTCACTGTTTTTAATCATTTATGTGCATAACTCTATGGCAGTTAATGCCATGCACTGTGTAATGTTTTATATAGACAGTTAGGTTTTCCAATTAAAAAAGCATCATTGTTTTATAAAGTAGACTATAGGTTAATAGGGTAAGTATTAAGGGCTTCCTTTTCGCTAGAGGAAACAGCTGGTGTGATGACGTAACACAGCGAAAATTTTGACATTTTTTGTAAACTGTACTTATGAAAAAGGACTGCACTGATGCAGATATAACAATTTATCGAAAAACACACACCTTGGCTTAATCCTCGCTCTGTGATGCCGCAGTCTGTGATGCTTCAGTTGAAGACCGCGCTGAAAGACGTTGCGCCGTTTTCATATGAAATTTAAAGGGGACGTGGCCGAACATCAATTTGTGTAAAGTTTATGGAGAATTTTTAGGGGGGCTGAGTACAAATGAGTAAAAATGGCCTAGCGACGCCCATGACGCCAGCTTATGTCATTCTTCATTTATCTTCTTAATTGGCGATGTTTTTCGAAGTTTGCTTTTGTCCTTGTATGTTATGCATTTGTGAATGATAACCAGTCATTCGCTATATTGCCCAAGGTCGAAGCCCAAGCGAAAGCCCAGCTGACTAAGCAGGCGCCCTTCAGAAGTTGGCGCCCTAGGTCGCCTGAAGGATTGAATAGCCGTAGGGTAGAATGCAGGACCCCGTCAGAGCAGCCACCAACACTACAAACATATCGAAGTCCACCTCGCGAAAAACAGTTGCGATGCAAATTTATGACTTACAGATCTGTTAAAAAGAACTGTCATGATCTGTCCTGAAACTCCCCTCTCAGTGTAGGACCCGAGTGTAGTGAATGTAATGAATGCACAAACATACAATATGTACATATTTTCACTTTAAGCTGCAAATTAGCTGACAGCGATAGGCATGTGCTCTTTGAGTAAACGAATGTTAACTGTCATGATTTTAATCAGATCTTATATAGAATCCCCCAGATTTATCAGTACACCTAATTGATTACTCATCATTGTTTCTGGCGCTCAACTTACTTGTTTTTCTTTATACCTTCGCCCTCTTCATTTTTGGTAATGATTGTCTGCCACCTACCGTCTATTCCTGTATCGTAAAATACAAACGTAGCCCCAGGAAACAGCAAACGCTAGCCTTCCAAACAAATTTTTTAAAAACGGGGCACTTAGTTAATTTGCCTTAAAATCAACTGCGTACTGAGACGATTATTTAAAATCTTAACTTAAATTATGTCTACTTTAATTTTGATTGGTGGAAATATAAATGAATGATTACTTAGGCAATAACTAGATATGAGACAAGTACCACATTTATAAGTTCATTCGTGACATGAAATTGACAGCGCAGTTGCCTTATAATTAAAAGTTGTGTATCGGATATGTTTAAACGTCACTGTCTTTTGTCATGCGGACGTATTTTGTATAAAAACAAAATTTGCTTTCGATAATTTGAAGTAGCCTACTTGCAGACATTGTGAATGTATGTTTATTACGCCGGATACGAACATCTGCAACGTAGGCTACACAAAAACCACTGGTAATTGATGATGGACTGTCTGTTATTATACTGTATTATAGCCTACAATTGGACTTAACATTTCTGCTCACCGACGCGTTCATTTCAAATTCCGAATGTGTCGAAGCGTTATATGCCGCACACTCTCCATAATCCAAGTCAGCAGAAACTAATCGTGCGGGACAATTTCCTCGTAACAAATTCAACCACAATTATTTATTTTTTTTACTGAATTATTGAAAGAAAAGGATCAGATATACGCTCGTTTTCATTTATCTGTCGGCAGTGGAACGCATACATGTCTGGTAAAAAAGTGTTTTGTCGGAGTAATCGGCCCTGAACCACAAAGAGCAGTTGAAGTTGAATGAATGAATATGTTGCAATGAATTTAAGCAATGAGGTCCATTTTTTTTCTTTCCCTGCTTTCGTTTTTGTTTAAAGACAGTGATGTACAAGCAGCAGCTAAAAACTGCCGTTTCATAACTTTTCCAAGAGGAAGTGGTATGAGGGTATAAAAAGAGTAAAGCAACTCAAAAGTGAGAAACCTTTGCAGCTGAGCATCACCCCTGGGGACCTGACCATCAGTAACCTGTCTCTAGCATTGCATACTTAGAGCAGGAAAGATAAACTGTGCCAAATGGAGCCTGTGGAACACAGGGTATGTGAAATGACCTGGAAGATTGTCACGATGATACCCGACAAGCCACCCCTCCAGTTAATTTGGGACTATTTGAGGACAAACCACAAAGAAATGCTACGTTCACCTCTCTTTCCCATTGTGGTCTCAGTGTCCACATATTTCATTACGTGTCTCTTCTACACAACTCTGGATGGACTTTCCAAATTAGTTCCAGCATTGAACCGCTACAGAATACACCCAGACCAGTCTATTAAGCCCAGTGGGATCCTGAAGGCAGTGATGCTCACCCTATACAATCATCTAGTGTTTGTCTTCCCAGCATCAGTCGCCCAATGGTATTGGAGGCCATCGCTACCCTTGGAAGAAAGGGCACCCACCGCACTGGAGTTCACCCTCGGCATACTGGGATGTATCCTCTTGTTTGACTTCCAGTACTACCTCTGGCACTTGGCTCACCACAGATCACAGTGGCTGTATGTTACCTTCCACGCAATCCATCATGAATACTCTAAGCCCTTCTGTTGGGTCACCCAGTACATGTCAGCTTGGGAATTGGCCAGTGTAGGATTCTGGACTACAGTTGACCCGGTCTTTCTTCACTGCCACCATCTTACCAGTACTGTTTTCATGGTCTTCAACGTCTGGATCTCTGTGGATGCCCACAGTGGCTACGACTTCCCTTGGTCACTCCAGAACCTGATCCCCTTTGGCCTGTGGGGGGGGTCTGTGAAACACGACGCTCACCACCGCTGTCCCACCACTCACTTCCAGCCCTACTTCTCCCACTGGGATTGGCTCTGTGGTACAAATTCTGGACACTTCAAATCATCAGCCATTGCAAGAAAAAGGAAAAGAGACGCTTAACCAAAGGTCGTCTGCAGGCAATATTTAAAAGCTACCATCACCAGACTTTGAGCTCAGTTGCTTAGCCGTATCCTTCCGCCTGTTGTAATGTAAGTAGTAAGAAGATATTATTCATTATTATTCATTATATTTCATTACCATCTCACCTTAATTCTGCCTATCAATGACATCTTTTAAAACTGGACTATTTTAGCTTTTTGTGTTTTTAATTTAAATTTTTGTTTTGTTGCATTTTGTTTTTCACTTGCTGCTTGTTCCATGTTAAATGTACATTTTTAGCATGTGTATTAGATATGTTAGTTTTATATGAAAATCACAAGGCAGCTTGCATGCAAGGAGTGCCAAACCTTGGTCGTGCAAATTAATAGTTTGATGACTCACCTGTTTTTATGGCTCTGGTGCAAACAGACACAACTTCCAGTTCTATAATTCCTTTTCAAAATGACTTGGTAATCATCTGGATTCGTCCCCATCTTCAAAAAAACAGAGGGAAGTACATTGCAGTGAGTCGGTGACTGATATCAGCTATGTCCGAAAGTGGTGCATTACACAAAATGAAAACAATTTCTTAAAAAAAATTCTCAAGGAACTGAGCAGAGGTCATTTGGCAGACTCCTTGTTCACGAAATAAAAAAATGTTATTTTGCTATTTTTTAAAATTCATTTCATGTCCAACATGTCAATAAAATTATAATGGTACATTCCAGCACAATACAACCTTTCAAGTCCATGGCAAATGTCTGACAGTGACTTTATGATTTATTACGTCTGACCCATTAGCACATGAATACAGCTGGTGACAATAGGGAGGGTGAGAATTGCAGCAAAGGACAGCCATAGAGCACGCTGTGCACATTAAATGTGCTCACTCTACGAAAAATGTGTTTGACAGTTTGCTGTTCTGACTCTTGGTCAGCTACTTAACGAGGAAACTTCCAGAGATTAACGCCTGAGACGTGCCACATGAATGTCACGTCTACGGATTTTACACTAATCAGAATAAAATACTACCATAAATAACTCACTGTCATCTAATATAGGCATCTAACCAAGCTGGGTTTACATGGTAAACTTAATGGATTGATTACAAATCTACAGGTTTCCAGTTAATGCAGGTAATTGCCATTAACTGTCTATCTTAGGAGATGTCTGGAGATGTATAACTGATCATTCTCAACCAGCAGGTGGGAGAGAAATGGTGTTGGAGGCTCGGGTTGATATGTTGTCACCACGGCAATTTTAGCCAGCCTTTTGTCCACAGACTCCTAAGTCAGTTAATGTAATGCAGCTGAAACAGACCATATTGACTGTCTATATATACTCTGCACACCCTTCCCAGAACATGCTAGCCTGTAGTGCCTTTGGCCATTGACTGTACCATGATTTTCTAGGAACCACTGCTGGGCATCTTTTCTGCCCATTGTTTTACTCAGTTAGTACTATTATTTGGATTGATTCACGCTATTACTCCATTATTATAATGGAGAAATTCAGGTTCAGTAATAAAGTATACAATAGCTGAGCCTCGTCCTCAACCAAATTAGGGTGACCACCTTTCCTAAGGATATGTGGGGGCTGCTGAATGGATTTAGAGATGACTATGGATTGTAAGGAGTTCCGGAGCATGTCTATATTATCAGCACTATCTCACTTTGCTGGGTTTGCCTGGCTTAGATTTTTTGTAAGTTAGTTTGCCTCATTTCAACATCTAGTGGTCACATCCACATTTTATGCTTGCGGGTTTATGGGATAATATTTTTGCTGTCCAACTACCCATGACGAAGGGGTTAGCTGCCAGCAATGTAGTGCATAGTGTCATTGTGAAATGTGCTCTTTTAGTTTGAACTTTTCTGGTCCAGATAGCTAGCTCTATTAACTGAATCCTGTCTTCTTATCAAATTATTTTTTTCCCAGACTGCATTGGGCTCACATCTTGTGATACATATTGCAACCACAAGGTTGTTTTGCTGTTGTTAATGCATCAGCACAACTGTTTTGGAGCCGTCACTGAAAAGGTCAATCAATGTAATTACTGAATGGTCACAAGTCATGCAGTTCCAATATGAAGAATGACTTCCTGTGCAGAAAGCCTGTGAAATTTTGAAATTTCTTATGAAACTCCTAACTGCTACTATTGCATTGAGCGACTAGTAACCAACCAAATTTCCTGCCTGTTTCAAAATCTGATGTAGGATAGCAAATGCAGTCTGTAGAATCTTTAGCATATGTATGTAACTATACATTCTCTCAATGCTTCTGCAAATAGTTCTTGTTGCTAGGAGACTTGCCAGAGGTTGCATTTATTACGCTTTCAGAGAATGTGGTAATATCAAGTTAGCGGTGGTAGTGGGGGGGTGGGGCATTAAATTTGTGAGTATACACTTGTAAAGAGGGAACAGTAGCTAACTGTCAGCAGATATACTTTATTAATATCTTCATTATGAGCTCAGTGAAGCTAAATGATTAGCTTCTGCTATTTCAAAAGGTCCTCTCTTGTGCTGCCGGACATTAGCTTGAGAACCCAGGGCAGGGGACACTCAGGGATGTCAGTCCACTGTCAGGTGCTTACATTCTATGGGCTGTTAGCACAGTCAGCCTAAATGCATGTCTTTGGACTGCGGGAGAAAAGCAGAGTAGCAGGTGCAAACATACAGTACGTGGAGCACATGCAGTCGCCACATAAAGAGCAGAGGCAGAAATCGAATCCCCAGCACTGGGGCTGTCAGGCTACAGGGCCAGCTATACATTATCAACATTGGAACATGTGTGCTGTGTGGAAGAGTTCTGTAACATAAATCTTAAGTATCCTAAATGTTTCAGGGAATTTTACATTATATGACACAACAAGCACTGTGGTCGCCATAGAATTCCCAAACTGGCCTTGACTTTTACACACTATTTTCCCCTTTTGTTGTGTTTTATTTATAACAGTGATAATCTGCAAGATTATTTGACAAAACTTCTGGCTAAAAAACATCCTCTGTTCCTCCTCCTCACCCTAAACAATATTAATATTAGGAAATATATATGCTGTTTGTTTTAATGACAACAAATATACACCTTTGTTCATAGCTATTGTTCTGATTGGTCTAATTGCTTATTTTATATAATGATCAATTTAATTCTTCTCCAATATGTAAATGAAAAATTATTCTACAGTTTGCATCAGTTATTTTTCAAACCACATTTAAAGATTACTTTAAAAATTATTTAAAATACGAAATGTTCAATTTATTTGATATAGATGATAACAGGTGCATGCTACATTGTATTAATCAGACAAACTGATAATTAAATGATGATAACAGAGAGGAGCATACTACAACCCCTGACTGGATTATGTATTTTACCATTAGTAAATATATGCTGAAATTTAAAATATAAGTTAGAGATAATAATATCTAACTGGTGTTCTTTATGAACCTGAATATAGTGGATCTCTGGTAAAGTGAGTTTTAGTCATGTGTACAGTGCTTGTGTGGAGTCACCCAAAAATCATTTTTTTCAGTGTTGTGAATGCTCAAAGATAAATTTATGTAATGAACATTACATAATAATCATGAGGGTTTAAAGGAAAGTTCTGTGTCTCTTGTAGAGATCAAAGGATCAGTCCACAAAGGTTATAACAGAAATCATTTTTCTGGAAGCTATCTGTCTAGCTAAGAGCAGTTTAAACTAGTCCACGCTATTCTTCAGCACAGCTTTCACTTTAAATTCAAGTCATTGGGCTGCAGCCGCCCTAAGAAAAGGATTTTGCACGGCACACTGCACCCAATACATCATTTCAAAGTGACCGAAATGCGCACTTTCTTATTTCTTATTTATTTCTTCTCCCAAAGTAATCTTTCCGAAGTTAATAAGTGATGGCATTTCCTAAACTGCAGGAACACTCATATTTAGGTCAAAATCGGCTGGTGGTGGGACAGGGTCGCTGCTGCTGGCTGAAGCCTCCACATTGACACAAAAGGCGCACAGAGAAAGCTCTCATTTCCTTTTAAAAAGGAGGTGGTGCTTAGAAGTACATAAATAGAAATCTCTGGCCCAGTCTGGTACGTGGAACTTTGAAACAAGTTTGCCTTTAAAACAAATAAGAACGTAAACCACTTCTCTCTTCTTACTTTCTTCGGTTTTCTGCAGTACTTGCAAACCTTTTAAAATGACTGTTGTAAGTCTGAGGAACAGGTACTATGGGACCTTTAACGTGGCCAATATGACCTTCGGACTTCCTGAATCCTCTGTGCTGCAGCCCATATGGGACTACCTCCACAATAACTATGAGGGTACGCTGAGGTCACCTCTCTTCCCAGTTCTCCTGTCTGTGTCCACTTACCTCCTCCTGGTGGCGCTATTCACGGTCTTGGATGTCCTGGCACCACACTGGCCCAGCATCAATAGATATAAGATCCACCCGGAAAAGCCTGTCACCTGGACGCATATTTGGAGGACTCTGGGCCTCACCACCTATAACCACCTCATCTACATCTTCCCAGCAGCGGTGGGGCAGTGGATCTGGAGGCCCCCCATCCCCTTACCCAAAGAAGCTCCAACTCTCACTGAGTTTCTGCTGGGGATCCTCGGATGCACCATTCTATTCGACTTCCAGTACTACCTGTGGCACCTCCTGCACCACAAGATCGGCTGGCTATACCGGACCTTCCACGCCATTCATCACCAGTACAACGAGCCCTTCAGTCTGGTCACCCAGTACCTTTCCGCCTGGGAGCTCTTCAGCGTCGGCTTCTGGACGACAGTGGACCCCCTACTGCTTCAGTGCCATTGCCTGACTACTTGGGGCTTCATGCTCTTCAACATCTGGATCTCTACTGACGACCACTGTGGTTATGACTTCCCGTGGTCGTTGCATAACCTAGTGCCCTTCGGACTTTGGGGGGGCTCCGTCAAGCATGACGCCCATCATCAGAAGCCCAACACCAACTTTGCCCCATTCTTCTCCCACTGGGACTGGCTAGCAGGAACGGGATCAAATCTCGCCCAGTCAGCCGCCATGAGAAAAAGGGAGAGCAAAGGAGCCTGACTGTCATTGACTCTCATGTTTGCTAAACATGTGTAAGATTAGTACTAACTTTCAAATGCAATATAGAGGGAAACAGAGATCAAAGGCTGTATTTCTACATCAATGAAAAATATGTAATTGTATTCTATTTTGAGTCGAACGGGATTCTGAATGTATTTTTATTGCCTAATGTAATTTGCCATTTGTAGGTTGATGAATAATATTTATATATTGTTTTGACCTACTGACATTAGGTATAATGCTTTTACAAAAAGAAAAAAAACATTTCTCAAATCAATGGGCAAGGTATCAGAGTAATTATACAGTCCAACAAGTTGTAAACAATCATAAAAAATAACTGCATGACTTACAGAAGGTTGATAAATTTAGCTGGTGTTTGTTTTTTCTTTTTGTCCTTTTTGTTGTTTATAATTTATCACTAATACCACTTTTTTGGTATTTGGATATTTTATATTTGTTTCCCCGTGGTTGTTTATCAAAAAATAGAGGTGGAGGGATATGAATACGTCAAAAGTAATAAAGAAAAACTCGCATCGTTGCAAATGAATATTTTGATTGCCATATTCAGTTTTCACAAACTCAGGATATTAGCTTTTTTCTGCATTCTTGGCAGCGAAAACGATTCGGATTAACAATTAACAAAGTCAAAGGAAGAAACGTTTTGTCAACATAAGACACAGGAACCGACACAGCGAGAATTACAGTGCTGTTATGTAAGATTTAAAAAAAAAATAGTCAGATTTGATGAATAGACTGAGACTGACCGCTGAGACTAGTGAATGTTTCTGCTTGTGTCTTGATCCCTAAGGCTCCACAAAAGCGTTGCCAAAAAATATGTGCGATCCAATATAATTCATGGCAACAATATTAATTAATCATTGCTCTTTCATACACCATCACTGGTTGAACCGACCAAACGAGACGGGAATTTTCCAGGCTTTCCCACCACAAAAACACCTTTGTAATCCGTGGATGGGAGGAAACAAAAACAGGAATTCCTGCGAAGATCCAGTGCTTTTCAAGGAAATCTTGGCAACGCATCAAGAAAACAAAGTATACAAAATCAGAAAAAAGAAACGTTCATTTTTCCTTCGGATCTTTCCTGCGATAATTTTGCAATGAGTATGAGTGCGTGAAACTCGTTGGAAGCCGAAACATACGTTGCCTCCTGTTTTACAAATTAACGACGTTCTTTTGTTTTTATCTGTGTAAAAGATGACGTCTTTCACGAAATATATGGAGACGTGCTGTAAGGGGCACAGCGCCCCAAAATATATTCTCCATGACACAGATTGGAGAATTCACAGTGATATTATAGGGAGGATTTGTATCTTTGCAAATTATTTTATTATTATATGTTTCCCGGAAATGTGTATTTAATAATGTTCTAATTAAGGTGGTGTGGCAGTAATGTCTAATAATTGTCGTCTTTTATGAAGTGCGTCTGCTGTCGTACCATACAAAAATTTTCATTATGGACTGAAATATACTGAGAATTTAAAACAAAAGTAAAGGGTGTCCATTGGCGGAAAACGACAGGCGACAGCAGGCGTAAACAGTTATTGAAACATAATTAAAAATAATCCAAAAAACACGTAGTTTATATACGTCAGCTATTGAAATAAAATTCAGATCTTCACGTTCAATAAATGGTTTGAAGATGCTCTGACATTTTTCAAGATGTCCTGTAGATGGTGCTCTAAAATATTAAATGTTTTCAGTTTCATGTATTTTATGCGTCAGTAGAGAAAAAAACAAATGCTGACTTTTATTTTTTTGTCACCCTTTTGATTTAAAAATGTATTAGAATAAATTATACATAGAAATAATAGCGATGTTTATTTTGCATATATTGTTCATTTAGTTTGTTATTTTCCATTGAACAAAATAAAAGTTTGACAAATAAAACAAGGCACATGTGACAAACACAACCACTTGTGATGTGCCAGTTAACTTGCTAAAGTTTGACAGTCCCACATCACGATCCATCAATGCAGGATGATCAGGTAAAACAGCATTAAAAAGATCTTACTGCAATCCACCCATCTTCCATCCATTTACCCAGTACAGGATTACGTGAGAATGTGGTGGATCGGTGAAGCCCAGCCCAAGTAACTTGGACACAAAGCAGGATGACGTCATGGAGCAGATTCCAGTCTGTTACGGGGTACATGCGCATAATTACACACAAACACACATGGGCTATTTAGAGACTAAATCACCTAACTGTATGTGAATCTTTGGGCTATGTGAGGGAACCAGTGTATTCAGAGGAAAGCCATACAACTATGATTGTTATTTTTGGTTTTAACTACATCACAAGTTATATTCAATGCCAGTGGAATAACAAATAAATGGTTTGGAGTTGTTAGGCTCCTTCTTCTTCACAACACTGGAAAAAAAAACATCACTACTTAAAAGCTCTCTTCTTTAAACAAATGCAGAGTTTATTGCCCACCACTATTAAGAGAATCAAAGTTTTCTTTGAATAATGGTAGCAGGCAGTGGTCTGGGTTTGTGCTATGATAGACGTATGGTGACAATCAATCATCATCTGGTGCCTAAAGATACACCAATTAATGAAACGCAGTTGATCTTGACTGAACTGGATCCTTCTGAGGACAGAGTTTGCCTGATGAATATGGGGGATCAAGAACTTTGTGACCTGCTACTAAACTAAACAGATGTCTGGCTGATAGATCACAGTTTAGTTTACTGGGGACTTTTGTATATGTATTGCCACAGGGCACATGTGACAGGACACAGAATGTGCAGACAAGAACCCCAAAAGGGCAAGGCTTATTGAAGAAGACTCTGGAACATTTGCCAAAGGGGGGACTGTGATGAGATGACTGTCCATTCAAGGCAGTCATCCTCCAGAGTCCCCAGCAGTCATCCTTCAGTGGCCCCAGCAGTCATCCTCCAGTGGCCCCAGCAGTCACCCTCCAGTGGCCCCAGCAGTCATCCTCCAGTGGCCCCAGCAGTCATCCGGCCTTCAGTGGCCCCAGGAGTCATCCTTCAGTGGCCCCAGGAGTCATCCTCCAGTGGCCCCAGCAAGTAGGTGGCAGTGGTCCCTTCGCAGTGCTCATTCTTCCTTATCCAGTCATGTGGATGTAAGGCCGCAAGCCTTGCAGGCCCCGTCGGTCTGAGCCCTGGCAAGCCTGCAATTTTCCACCCAGTGTCCTAAGGCAAAGGTCTCCGGCTCCAACGAGACTGGACCAAAATCACCCGGTCACTACATCAAAAGGGACACCTCACCCCCACTGGGTGGCCAGAAACCTGCAGCCAAATTCCAGCGACAAGGCCTGGCTGCGTCAAGACACAGATGCATCCTACACTCGCTAACTCACACCAACACAGGAGGTATTACCCCAGACTAACATTAGGGACACATACACCCATGTTTGGTCTCCTTTGAATGGTCACAGTAGGACGAGTACAATACTCTCAATCTTAAAGCAGTATGTTCTCACATAAGAGAAATATAGAAAATAAGACTAAACCCACCAAAGTGGAGGATCATATCTCCTGGTAGAACAAAGGAATCCTCACATTCCTCCTAAAGCAATTATATTGGCTGAGGGTCTGAGAATTGATAAGATCAGCATTTCTCCAGGACACACACACACACAAGATCAAAACAGTCCCTAAAATAATCAATCACAATATTTGGTACATCTGTCACTTGGTTTGGAATATTTAAGGAAGAGCTCCATAGTAGCAAAGGGAGACACTCTGTAATTAGAGCTCCCACATAGTGCTGCGTGAATCTACATCTGCAATCAGATATTTTCTGCAGTTACTCTGTGTCCACTCAGTTGAGGTATGGAATTGTATTGTTTTTGATTGGATGGTATAGTTTAGGACTTGTGGCCACATATTAAACTTACATTGATGTTATATTTGGTTAAATTGATGTGTCTTGTATTAATTGTGAATAAACTGTGTTTTGATTACTTCTTAGTTGTCTGACTTTGCTAACCTCTGCATGTTTCCCGTAGACTGGGTTTATTTCTAACACTATCTTGCAGCCTCTGACTCGACCCTGTTTCTTCGAGACCCGATGTGACTGCCCAAGTTGAGTTGCGGTGAATACCGGCTCCGCCTTTGAGGCACGCACATGTGGAGTTACGGCAAAGACCGGCTCCGCCTCTGAGGCGTGCACATGCTGGGTTATGGTAAAAGACCGGCCCAACCTCTGAGGCGCACACACGCTGATTTATGGTAAAAGACCGGCCCAGCCTCTGTGGCGCGCACACGCTAAGTTACGGTAAACACTGGCTTAACCTCTGACGCACTCACAAGCTCAGATACAACAAGTGTCGGCTGATCCTCTGAGGAGTTATAGGTCGCCGGGTCCAAACAGTTGTCTAGGCTGACATTGTGTTACGTTGTAGGGATTTCCCACCTTCTGAACCAATTCCTACATAGCAGACCTGCGGATAGCCCTCTTGGCCGAGGCGAATCCGGTGTACTCCATCGTCCGGGATTAATGGGAGTTAAGCAATAGAAGGCACAGCCCAGGTGTAATCTGAATAACAGAACTGTTATGCCCGAAATGCCATAAAAGATCTTTAATTAAATTGGAGTCCAATATAATTCGGTTTTACCTAAAAGGGTAAGTAACGTTGCGGGAGCGCTCAAAAGGACCTACACGCATTCCAAGCCTTCAGCTGTCCAATTGGATTCCGCCATTGGGCCAGTGGATGGTTCCTACAAGGAAAGCATGAAATTATGCAGACACAGGTCAAGAGCTGCAGCTAATGACCATATAAGACATCAGATCTAACTGACCTTGACCATACTGTGGTTGTTAGTGTGAGATGGGGTGGATTGACAAATTCAGAGATTGCTGATCTACAGGATTTTCACATGCAAATGTCTCTAGACAGAATGATGCGAAACAGCAGCAATTCTGTCACCAAAAGTGCCGTGTTGCCAAGAGAGGTGAAAGGAAAATGACTAGACTGGTTCGAGGAGACAAGAAGGCTACAATAACTCAAACAACCATTCATTACAACAGTGGTGAGCAGAAAATGTCTCTGAACATACAATACTGATTAGTATCTGAATATTTTTGCTGACCATGTGCATCCCTTTATGGCCACAGTGTACCCATCGTCTAATGGCTACATCCAGCAGGATAATATGTCATGTAATAAAGCATCTCAAACTGGTCCCATGAGCATGACAATGAGTTTAGTGAACTTCAATGGCCACCCCCATCACCGAATCGGAATCCAACAGAACACCTTTGAGATTTGGCAGTACAGGAGATTCACGACATGAATGTATAGCTGACAAATCTGCAGCAATTACACAATGTATTCATGTCAACATGGACTAGAACCTAGTTCAAAGATTTTGCAGTGTGATATTAGTAAACATATCACAGAGGTCCAGGTTGGCATGGTGGTGCAGTGATTAGCACTGTTGCCTCACACCTCTGGGACGAGGGTGCAAGCCTTTGCTGTGACTCCATATGTTTGCTGTATTTTTCAAGCACCTTTTTGGTG